TTAACGTTTTCATTATCAATGTTCGAAGAGTCAGCAATTTCCGGAGAAGGGGTAGAATATCGAGGAACGTGTTCGAGAGTCATCTGCTTTTGCCGAAGGTTATCACGAATTGTTTCGGAAAAAAAGAACAATAAAAAATTAGAAGAAAAAAGGGTATTTTTTATGTCATTGTCTTTGTTTCTGCCTTCATACGTAATATTCTATAGAAAAGGATTTTCGGTCGTTTTCAAATCAAAGAGTAAAGAAATCGAATTTTGAAACAGTATCACTGGTATATAATTTTATTCCTCTATAATTTTGGTGAAATATATATATTTTTACCCCTATGATTATTCTGTGAATTGTATGATGATTGCCGGATTTATTTCTTATAAAATTATCTTTGGTTTATATCGGCAATGTTAAATCCATAATTCAAAAGGTATTTTTCATAAACCTTTTCGTATAAACTATTAAATCTAAGAATAGCGAGTCACGAGTTTTATGAATTAAAGAATGTTCTATAAGAATAATGCGTTGCAGGTTTAGTTTCATTAAATGCTTTTAAAATGTTTCTTTATTTTAAAGGTGAAAAATTCTGTACGAAGGATTTTTTAAGCTTTTAAAAACATATAAACGAGTCAAAAAAATTATATGCTATTAATTTTATTCATAACAAAAAATAAGAATGGATTTAAATCCCGGAAATTGGAGAGCTTAAAAAATCAATTCGCTGTCCTTTAAAATAATGAGTAAACTATTTATGGATTCGTTAATTAGGATTTTAAATGCCTAATAAACGATAATGAGAATTATTGAACTGCAACTTTTACATGAAAGAGTACTCAAAAGAAATAATCAGAATAAATATTCGTTATTTAAACCAACATGCAAAGTTTCGTTTAAAATATGCAGTTTAATAATATCTTTGCTATATTTCAATGGCTGGTACATGCTATGGTTCAATGGCTGGTATTAAAACATTTTTGATGGATTTTAGAGGTTCCTTTTCGTTTTTCTAGGGCCACTTTTTTAAAATGCTTTCCAGCGCTAAATGCTTTTTAGCGCTGGTGATTCGAATTTTTATTGCACGTTCTTATGAGAACTTTGTCGTAGCGACAAGAATTTATTTTTCTTTTCGCAAAATTTTACGATTCAACAGTTATGAGATTTAGATATAATTACTTCTCATCTGTATACAAAAAAAATTAACACAACCAAATTAAATTTGAAGGCATTTGTCAATTGAAGAGCTTGACGATATATAGAGATAAGCCGCATTTATACATCAAGCTGATCTTTAGTACTATTTCCAGACAGTTACAATACACATTATCGTAATTTCCACTAGATGGCAGCACAGTGTACAGAATCAGCCTAATGTCTGTTTGAAGAGCCATGGTGGCTCAGGGGATAAAGCATTTGACTTCCGGTGACGTTACCCATTTTCAAATCCCAGCAATGGCTCTGGTCGATTTGAATTCCGCTCCCGGCTCGAAGCCGATCAATATGCTGACGTAAGATATTCTCAGCGGTAGACGGATCATGGGTAAGAGTTCCCTTGCCGTCAGGCTAACCATGGGAGAATTTCGTTGTTTTCCTTTACATGTAACGGAAATGCGTATTAGTTTTTTCAAGTTTCTTTGTCTTCTGGATTGTGTTCAAAAGTACGAAATTACGGAATTGAACATTGGTAGTCGTAAACTCAAAACTGTGTCAGCTATTCAACTAAGATGATAAAGTGTCTATTTCGAAATCGTTATGTTTTACTTCAAAAATACTTTCCTGAAAAATTACGAAACGTGGCTTATCATTGAATAGTCCAAAGACTAATAATTCGAAATTTGGAACAAAAAAAATTATACATCCTCCCTTCTATTCGCTCATCGATTAAACAGAAATCATGAAGAAAAAAAGAGAATTATGAATAAATCCTTTATCAATATTGAGTTGTAAGGAAAGCTAATAATAGTACACATTAATAAAATTTGTCAATATGCCAATCCTTACTATCATAAAATGTTTAATACAAAATTAATTCTAATTTAAGAGTAAAAGCCGTTTAGTATCTCATTCATTCATAGATGTAATGATAAATTGCCATGTAAACTTCGGCATGTAAAGATTCCGTCTCGTTATTACTATTCTTTGCGATAAGTAATTACAGGTATAAGTAGTAGAAACATGGGTCATTATCTATGACAGACTGTTATTAGTTAATCTATGCATGTACTAAAATTATTCTTTTTAAATCTACCTTTGAATTACTGTCATTTTTTTCATCTTGTTTGTGACTTCATACAATTCAGCGTGTGTTTTTGTCAATGGTTAAAGTATAAGTCAGTTATTGCTTTGTATTTGAAATATGATTCTCACTCAAAATTTATCAGTATTCTTATTATTATATTATTGCTATTGAGTGCTTTTGATGTTACTACGTATTTCAAGAACAAAACAAGGGAAATTCCTGAATTAAATCAAAAAAATATTTATTTTCAAACTGCAAAATAAGACAAACATGGCTGCTTTTTTGTATCAAACTTAGCAAAAATCTCTTTGAATGAGGTAAATTGCGAGTTCCATCCAATTTCAGCTCAAATTCTTTAGACTTAGCACTTTCGAAACATTCTCCATGTTCGCTTACTTCTCTTCTGTGAAAGTATAAAGGATCCAGATTGTTCTGCATCCAATTTCAGTACAAGTTCTTTAGATTTAACACTTTCTCGAATCATTCTCCATGTTCACGTTCGTCTCTTCTGAGTATGCATAAAGGATCCAGATTGTTCTGCATCCAATTTCAGTACAAGTTCTTTAGATTTAGCACTTCCACAAAGCATTCTCCATGTTCACGTACGTCTCTTCTGTGGAAGTATAAAGGATCCAGATTGTCCTGTATCCAATTTCAGTACGAGTTCTTTAGATTTAACACTTTCTCGAATCATTCTCCATGTTTACGTTCGTCTCTTCTGAGTATGCATGAATGATCCAGATTGTTCTGTATCCAATTTCAGTACAAGTTCTTTAGATTTAACACTTTCTCGAATCATTCTCCATGTTCACGTTCGTCTCTTCTGAGTATGCATGAAGGATCCAGATTTTTCTGCATCCAATTTCAGTACAAATTCTTTAGATTTAACACTTTCTCGAATCATTCTCCATGTTCACGTTCGTCTCTTCTGTGGAAGTATAAAGGATCCAGATTGTCCTGTATCCAATTTCAGTACGAGTTCTTTAGATTTAGCACTTCCACGAAGCATTCTCCATGTTTACGTACGTCTCTTCTGAGTATGCATGAATGATCCAGATTGTTCTGTATCCAATTTCGGTACAAGTTCTTTAGATTTAGCACTTCCACGAAGCATTCTCCATGTTCGCGCACGTATTCTCTATGTATGTATCTTATGTGTATGCATAAATAATCCTGATTATTGTGTAACCAATTTCAGCGTAAGCTACTTAGATTTAGCACTTTCGCACAGCATGTACAGTGTAAATAAAAGCCTGTACGTTTGTTGAATCATGTATACGTACAGAATAAAGCTTAAAAATTTTTTACGTTTGAATTTCGATGTACTGAACATATCTGTAGTTAAATCCTTCATAGATTTTTCTATTGTAAAAACTAGATTAGGTGGTATTCTAACTCATCAATCTTTTTGTAAGCAGCAGGTATGAATTTTGTCTCTTAGTTATCGTCTAAAGTAGATTATTTCTTCAGTCTTTTTAATTTTATTTTCAAACCATTGTCTAAATTGTATAAAAATGATTTGGTGGACAACCATTGGCCAGCGTGCTCTGTAGAAGACAACTATTCTATAGTAAGGCTGTCAACTACTACACTTTTTGCAAAATATTTTATAGAGTGGTTGACAACTAAAAACTAAAACTTTCTCAGTTTCTAAGCCTTTTCTAAATTTATCAACGTTTTATAATCTTCACCACTAGAGAGCTGGAACAAGTAGTGTTTCATTTTGTATTATTGAATAATTTGCGTGTAGTGGTGCAAAAAAAGATTTCAAATCAAATTTACAAAATAGAGAAATAGACGTTGTAGTATCAACTCGTTAACAGTTAAGACAAGAATTATCATTATATTAACATATCAACAGTTAAGACAAGAATTTTTTCAAAATATCGTGAAAATTTGCGCATCATCACCAAATATGGCAAAGGTTTACGCAAAAAATAGAGCATCATCACTGAGGACGAGAAAAATATTTTCTACAACACACAATATTGCAATTTCTACTTAAATATTTAGATGGTAAAACCTTTACTTCTAAAAAGGAAGTCAAAAATATGGATAAATTTTTTTGCCAGTAAAGAACAAAAACATTTTATGCTCTAGGAATCATGCTACTGCCAGAAAGACTGTGTAAGGTATCGGACCAGAATAAACAGTAGATGATGCTATAAAATACTTATTAACAATAAAAAGAAAACCACATTCTATTTTTTTAAGAACGAAATAACTTTCTGAACAACCTAATAATTCCTTATATTTACAAATTATCAGTCCGTAGATTTCATCATTAATAGCTTGGTTGTACTTTTAGTTTTTACCATTTTTCTTTGGCTAAATTTATAGTAAAAACTTCTAACTTATGTACTTTTTTACTGAATTCTACAATTTATATTACGTAAAAGTAGTTATTTTTTAATGGGTTTAAACTCTTTCTGATGACAAGGTTCGAAATGAGGTATTTTTTGAAAGTATATAATTGAAGCGATCAATGTTAAAAGAGGGTATGTTACAAATCTGCACTTTCTAGAAAAATCAAAAAACTGTGTCAAAACTTCTTGATAGTAATTTTTCGAGTAATTTTCTAGATTGCCTGAAAAAGAGAATCCAACAATTTGGAAGCAATTAAAGCAATCTTTCCACAATTGAGCAGTTTTTTTAGTTTTTCTTGAAATTTCAGATTCTTAACATATCCCTTTCAATTCATAGTGTGTCATTCAATTCATATTCATTCAATTTATACGCGTCATTCAATTCATAGTGTGTTCCACTATTTCAGCTCAACCTCGAGTAGTGGATCTTCTTCACGCCATCCAGATTCCATTCGCTTCTCCTGGTATCAATTTCGAGATTGGCCCCGATGGTTTTCCTGCTTTCCGCATAGAGCAAGAAGCTGACATTAAAGCTCCCTACAGGCTTCACCTTCCTCCCTCCCTATACAGAAATTTTACTATCGGTGCAACTTTGCGGCCTAGTAACTCTGATGGAGGTTTTGTATTTGCAGGTAAGAAATAATTTTCAGTATTAATCCTTGTTGAGTTCTTTTTTTTTAGTTGTTTAGCCAAGCGGTTTCTAATTTTTTCAGGCTACGGAACCCTAAATAATCGACCCCTTTTCGGCGGAATCCTGATTAAATAAATAAAGTTCATAAATGAACCGCATAATTGCTATCAATCATTTTGAAAATATTTAACCTGAGGAATTAAACTGATTTTTTCATCATTTTATCAATAATAGAATCTAATCTATTCCGAATTTGTTTTGGGTGTCATGCAACTGAAAATGAATGAAATAAGCTGAATTATTGTTTTTGTTTTAATGAAAACGAAAAAGAACTGTTATCAACAGCGAGAATTGTTATCAGGGAAACTCATTTCTTTGCTGAAGAATTTGGCTATTTATTTTTCTTTTTTTTAATAAATTTTTTTATGGAAAACATTAAAACACTAAAACATTTTGGGCTTGGATAATCTGGTTGGCAGGGAGCTGGACTCACGTTCGTGAGAATTGGAGTTTGAATCCAGCCGGCCAAAGACTCCTCGTGTAATAAATGTTTACTCGTGCACGTTAAATCTGTGGGGTCACAAAGTCCGCTATGTTCCCATAACAAATTATACCTCTGGGGGTACTGAATTGGAGATTGATCGTTTTTTATTCGATTGATTCAAATTCTTGGCCATAGATGGAACCACTGAAAAACAAGAACAATCGCACCTCTTTCCTTAATGGCCTACGATGACAACAACAACAACTAAGACATTTTCGTTTTTAACAATTTCATAAAAATAAACAAAATAGTGAAAAAAAATAGTGATTGGATATAAATCAAAAATCGTATTAAAAACAGTAGATATAAATCAAAATAAGCATTCAATATAAATCAAAAATCGTTTAAAAAAGTCGTAACTCTCGGAACACCTTTTGGACCTATTAATACTTAAGTAGTTTTTCAATATTATTTTATATATTGATATTGAATTTCGCGTAATCGATCTTAAAAGTAGTTAAAAATTACTGCATTTTGTTTAGTTAAATAAGTTGATAAACCCGCTAAACGCCGGAACACAGAAACCTAAGAAAATTGCTATAAAGTAGAGTTAATAAATGGTTTCGAATGTCGCAAAACTTGCAGTAATCACTTTGTGAATTTATTCAAAAAATAAATTAAACAATTAATATTTTTTTTAAAATTAATCTTGAAATTTTTATTCTAAAACATAATTAAAACTTGGATATGCTACATTACAATGATATGCTATATTATTATTAAATATATTTGTTATTTCCGATACTAATAATTTTTTTTGTGCACATTGTCGTTCCTTATAAAAATAATACTATTCTAGTTGTACATAACAACCATATGAATTTATATACTTATCACGTGGTTATACCAAAAATTGTGGTTCGTGGAGTATTTTATCAACTAAGCAAAAATTCTAAAATATTTCATATCTTAGAAATTGCGGTTTAAAAGATGAAATTTGACGTAATAACTTTGCAAACAAAATGCTTCATTTAAAATATATTTTAAACTTAATTATTATACTTAAAATGTTACTAAAATATTATTAAAACTTCTTAACATTGAAATTTGTATTAAGTTCGTTTAAATTGAAGACGCAAGATTATATCAGTATATTTCTGAGCAACGTCTTGTAATTGATAGTCTTCTTTAATTGATACTGATTAAAATTTTCAGCAAATTTTGTTGTTTCTTGTATAAATATCATTTTTCTATGTATGTTATGATACCTTGAGTTTATATACTTATCGCGTGACACCAAAAATAGCAATATTTTATTGGCACATTTTGGAAATAAAATAATTTAAATATTTTATGTTATTAAATTATCAAAACTCGAAACAGATTTTGTGAATGAAACAATTTATTTTAAGATTACCAGAGCAAACACAAGTCTCTCAACGAAATTACTTGGAGAAATTTAAATTTAATATTGTTCCAATTTTAACATGACATTCTAACATAATTGAAACATTTCTCAAATTGAAAATGCATTCCTTTAGTTGATATCTCTATTAATGTTTCAACTAATGGACTGTTTTAAGTGCCGAATGATTTAATAACTGATTTTCTAAAAATATTGACATTTCTTGTAAAAATATCACTGTTATATAACGATATTATGAATTTATAAACTCATCACGTAACACCAAAATTGCCCTTAATGGTATTTTCTTATGACATGAAAGTAAAATATTTTAATGAAAGCAATCCCTATGTTCCCTTATCGGATATATGTTCCTCGCAATTGATTGCTTGAGTGTTTCATCTTTTTCCGAATAGTGCTCAACCCAACAGAGACAGTAGTGCAACTCGGCCTGAGACTGATGGATGCTGGCAACTCCACAATAAACATTTCTCTGTACTATACTGACGTGGACATGCACCTCACCTCACAAACCCTTATCACCATCCAGGTTCCTGATTTTGTTGGAATGTGGACAAGGTTAGAATATTTAACACCATTGATTGCATTTTATCAACAACAAAAAAAAAGTTGTCGAAATTTCTATGTCCTCTTAAGATAGCGAAGATGTAGTAAGTCAAGTTTTAATGGGGGTTTCTGGTATTAAGGAGATGTATTTATTAAGTAAAAATTTTCCAATTAAGCGGTTGTAAGTGATACTGATGAGGAAAGAAATAGCTATTGGGGTAAGTGTTCGAGACGTGATAAATTTTGGTTCGTAAAAAATTCTAGAATTTACTTCATTAAAAACTTGGTCATCAAAAATTATGCACATATGTAGCAAATGATATTAATTTTATTTTATTTTATAACAGTCGATGAACAGCCGACGCAATTTTTTGAGTTTAAGACTACAAATGTTCAAGTAGTCTTGTAATTTTGAATCCAATCCAGAAGATAAGGGAAATCTTGGATCAAGTATTGGGAGAAATTTTGCCTTCGTGAAGGGCTTTTCGATGGAACTAACCCGCATTTGCGTTACATGGAGAGAAAAACAACGAAAACTTCCCACGATTAGCCTGACGGCAAGGGGACTTTAAAACAAAATCCGCCTACCACTGAGGATATTTTTACGTCAGCACTGTGGTCGGTGGGAGCCGGATGCGGGGCTCGTATCGACCAGCCACCGCTGGGATTCGAACCCGGTTCAGTTCATTAGAAGGCGAACGCTCTATCCCCTGAGCCACCACGGCTATAAATGCTATTAATTATGAATCTTAACTAGATTCTGGATGATAGAATATAGGATGTTCTCTAAAAAGGCGTTAGCCATATTTTTTTTAAAAAAAAAATCTTTGCCAAATTTGTCACAGTGCTTTAGTAAAACTTTGTCTAAAATTATACGTAATATAATTTCATATATATTTCTACTATATATTATATGTATATTTGTATATAATATATGTATATTTGTATACAACCTATGTACGTTTGAATATAATTTTAAAATATTTTTAATTAGATTATTGCATAAATTGAAAGACTACATTACAGGCATATATTATTATTGTTATAAATATTATTATGAACCAGGCCTTTAAGGATAGAAGATAAGGGTGCTCTCTGAACACCATGCTTAACTTAGATTGCGGAAATTTTTTAAAAATTGCTGCGTTTTTTTTAAACCCACACATCAAAAATAGTTTTTAGCAAAATATGTTATTAAATACAAGTAATGTAATGTTTAATAAGATTTGAAAAGATAGAATGAGAATGTTTTCTAAATTGACATTTCATCTTCACCCATCTTCATCTGACACATCTTCAAGTATGAGATCTTTATGATAAAAGACAGAGTTGATCTATAGCTTACAGATACAAGGAACTATTTATTTAATTAAAGTATGCATCTATGTTTTCTCTACACTTTTGCCAAGTAAGCAGCAGGTTGTTCTGGAAAGTGAGGTGTAACCTTAGCGGAAGACCATTTTTGCAGCATCTTCGGAATAGATTTCCTTTCCTATTAAAAAGTTGTCCAAATTTAGAAAGAAGCAATAGGCGCCTCTAGTGAGTTTGAAGAAGTTCCAATTATAGTAGTTTTGTTATAATCATTCATGACAATGCCATTCAATAAGATAAGAGACGATCTGCTCACCCATCTAAGAAATATTTCTGCAAGATTTTGCATCATTTTGTCCACTTAATTCTGCTGTGGTCGTTACAGGTTTCATAAAATCATAATTAATCACATCTGCACTAGAGTAAAAAAGACACATCATCACCTTTTTTGGAGAATATTACATTTTGGGGTGTATCATGGTGATTAACCAACCAGCACTAGAGCTGAATAAACTATTATTAGTTTCCTATAAGAACTCAAACTTAATAATGATGCGTAGTTTATACAGTTTAATATCGATTAAACTAAATTTTTTAAAAATGTTTTTAATGTTTTTAAAGCTTACGATGATTTTTTTAAGCAGGAGAAATCAATCTCCAAAGGCTGTTAAAGTAGAGGAATCCACCCTACAGCTTGATGACCTAATACGAATAAATTATTTAAATTTTTTTTTAAAAATCAATACTTTTATCTAAAAATTCTTATTTCTTATTTTATAATTTTAAAACACTCATATTTCCGTCTTACATCATTAAAAAAAAACAATTACTCTTTAGGAAAATAGACGACTGTCCAATATAAAGGAAATGTATCTTTTATAGCTGAATGTGATTTTTGGTGTTGATATTAACTAAAAAATTTTACAGTGCATGAAGTAATATTTTTTTTATTTATTTTTTCAGTGTTATAGTTTTATTATTTATCTTTTATTTGTTTATTTACTGATAATACATATATTCATGCATATTAGAATCAATTTAATGGCTGTGTCACAAAAACAATTCAGTTAAAAAACAAGTACGTTTTTAGAAAATATATTCGCAATAATTCTTTCAAATAATTGTCATTTTATCAATTTTACATAATTTTCTGCGCTATGACTACACTTCTGTTCTATCATAAATAAGTATTTAGTTTACCTTAACGCAAAAAATGGCTGTACCTGTGTACCAAAACTTTTTACAGTTTACATTTAGACGCACACTGTTAGCAATATGCAATTTTTAATTCAAAACATAGAACGTGCTTCTATTAAGAATTGTAGGACAAATCATGATACAGTGTAAAAGAGAAAAAGCGGAATATTCATTGGATTTTACTTGTCATTTAGAAACATTTAAAAATTTAGCCATTTAGTGTTTATTCTTAACCTTTATCCAAAAATATTTTATTTTGATATTAAGAAATTTTAAAGAAATTTCATGGAGAATTTGATGACATATTGTAAGAAAATTATAAAAAATTTTATTAAAATTTGATATTCTTTCATTGTGATGACTTGAACAGATTAGCTTTCCGGATAGCAGAAAACAACATTACCTTATATTTTAATTGCGAAGAAGTATCAGCTGATGTTGCAAGAAGAATACCCAAGAGATTGGTGTTTGATACAGCTTCTACTTTGTATATCGGACAAGCTGGACCTTTATTAGGAGGACATTTTGCGGTTAGTACACATCCCTCAATATTGATTTTGACTTTTTTGTATAATTCTAGCTTGCATTGGTTCTGATTTTTTTTTTAAAATTGTTCAGTAGGATTTTTTTCTAAACAGTTTTTTTTTTAAATCTCTCGAAATAATAATCAAAATTGCTGCGCGTAACACTTCTAATAACACTTCTAATAATAACGTAATAACGCGCGTAATAACGTTAAGTCTTCATTTAAATCTGTTTAAAATTCAAATGCTCAATTTGCGAAAGCAACTTTTCATTCAATTTTGTGCTATTTTATCAGCACATTTTCTCCTATTTTTTATTTGAATTTTAAGAACCCATTATAAAAATAATTAAGGATTGTTGTTTATTAAAATAGTATCATATCCACTATAGCTTAAATGTTAGCTATCTGTTCTACAAAAGCATCTATGTAAACTATCTAATCTGCAGTTTCACAATGTCTTCTATGTTAGCTATCTGTTCCACAATATCCTCTATGTTAGCTCGTAGTTCCACAAAAGCTTCCACAGAGTAGCCACTTTCTATAAAAAAAAACTTTAAAAAAAACGGGGAGAAAAGATCAGAGAAGCAAAAGGTTTTGACTAATTACTATCGAGTAAAATATTTGTAAATTAAATATCTGTGTTATAACTGACTTTGAATTCCAAAAATCGATGTGAAATTTGAAGATGAATCAATATAAAATTTACAATAACCTCATAAGACAGTTCAAACTTCTTTAGATTGTGCCACCCTGTTTTATGTTTGCTATCTATTACATAATTGCTTCTTCTATAGCTATCTGCTCCACAATTACTTTTATGTTAGTTATCTGTTCCGAAATAGTTTCCATGTTAGCTACCTGTTCCAAAATAGCTTCTATGTTAACTATCAGTTAGTTTGATTCTGCAATAGCTTGTAAGTAGTCTATTATATCTGTGTGTGTTTTTTAGCGAAGAGAATAATAATTTTAGTGAAGAGATTGATAAACCTTTGGGAAGGTAGCTAATGACGCTGCAATTATGCAGTTTCATTAACCTACCAGATCCAAATACGCAACTACTGAAAAGAATTCCTATTGTTTTTTTCGGATTAAAATGCTTTTAACAACAATTATTTTTCAGCAAAGTTTCTCTGTTAAATACATTTATAAAGCACAAAAAGTGACCCAACATTTTTTTCTAGCAAATTGGATTTTGATTACTACTTTAAAAGCCTATTGCAGTCCTAACATTATGTACTTTCTCTAAATGTATTACACAATGCTCTACAAAGCTTTACACGACATCGAAGTTATTCTTCTTGAGCAGTGATTTTCAAGATGAAATCATGCGATTTTAGAGACCACCTGCATTGAAAAACCGTCGGCAAAATAAAGATTAAGGGTGGGTTGATTAGTTGTCCACTTCTGACGTTTCTCTGTTTTTAACACGCATTATCTTTTTTAATAAAGATTGATGACAACCGACTCGCTTAAGGACTATTGCAATTAGGCCTAGCTCAAAGAGTTATTCTGTCTTTCAGTTCGTAATTGCACTTATTTTCCATACTTTTTACATTTCTCAGACTTCTGCATTGACACTCGCTCTGTTGTTGTCTTAAATATAGGTAGAAAGCGACATGTAACGCAACGTATACTTTTAGCAACACCTGGAATTAAGAAAAAAAAATGGAATGCTGAATCGTTTTTTATAGATGAATAAAATGTTGTATTCCGGTTCTTTCATCAAAATCAATTTGGAGATGTTTCACGGATTGTATGGAATTAAAACAATGCTTCTTACTGTTAAATGAAAAAACAATGGAAACTTCTGATGAAGAATGATGAGTCTTTGTTTTACTCGAAGCTCTGTTTTTTTTCCAGTAAACAATGTGTTCTGTTGCGCATCACATAATTTTATTTTTACTTTTTACTAAAATAATGCTTTAAATTAATTTTATTGTCTGTATTTTACTAATAAGAGATGTGTTTTGTTTATGTATTAATAATATATTAAATGAGTTCTGCGCTGCAACTTTTTGTGAAATAAAGTGCAAAATATTGAAAATTTTGAACAGCCAAGTTTTTAATAGCCTTGTTGTTGTTGAATAGTCATAATAGTCAGCTATAAAATAGCTTTGAAACTTGTGCACGCATGATGCGAGATTAATATATTTCTTATACATTTTTTATTAGTAAAATACAAGCAATAATATCAGTTACAGCATTATTTTTCATAATATTTTATAATAAGACTATGGTATTTAAATAAAAGCAAAAATAAAGCTTTTCATCAGCAATGTATTTTAAGTAACAAATGTCGCAAACGTATCAACATAACATATTTTAGAATGATTTTTCTCCATTTAAACTCTATCTTTTTGGTTCATTTCATAAGAGCTAATTACAAATAGATTTTACACATAAATTTAAAAAAAAAAAACAACAAAAATCTAGATGTTTGTTCTGAGGTTGGATACGAGTTATACGATTCAAACTGGTCCCTTTCTGTGATGTTTTTTTTTTTTTTTTTTTTTTTTTTTTTTTTCTTGCCGCTGCTCGGAAGTTGCAAGACTTGGCGATTATTCTGCCACAGATCACGATACGGAAAACTCCCCACGATATATTTAGACTTATTTCTGATCCTGGATATATTTAGACTTATTTCTGATCCTTTCTAAAATGGATATATTTAGACTTATTTCTGATCCTTTCTAAAATGGATGTAAAAAATTTTGAACATAAACGGTGCTATGGTGCCGCACACTGTCATATAAATTAATGGTAAAGAAGCTTGACTTTTTTTTTCGAGATATAACAAATATATGTTATACGGTACTCAAGTTATAGCTCTAGAGGTGCGTGAGGGAGTAGTGCAGCACGTAATGGAGCATTGATTGTTCAGCATTGTTCAGAATGGAGCATTGAGCATTGATTGAATGAGCATTGATTGTTCAGAGACAGAGACCTCAGGACAGAGATGGTAACAATTTTAATACAACTGCACCTACTGTGCTAAAATATCTTGAACTCATACTTATGGTGTTTTGTGTTATTTAATGGCATCCGGATAGGTTTTAAATTATTACTAAAATTCAATTCATATAGAACTTTGACAATATTACGACATTGACTCTCGAAAACAGTTAAAATTGAAATTGAAGTACTTCCGAGCGAGCAGCAACTAGACTGTGAAAAAGTTAATTTTTTAAACAAAATAAAGTGTTAGAGAATTAGATTATTTTAATTTAGTTCTGTTGTGCATTCAGCTTGATTGCCATTGAAGTTTATATAAATTTATTAGTTTATTTTTCACCTTTATATATTTTTCAACGTTATAAAAGTTTAAATGTTAAAATCGTCAAGTGGGTACTACCGCATTTTCGTACCATCGTTAAAAGGTGTTTTTTTAAGGCAAACAATTTTAATAAGTGCTTTAATAAGAAATATTGTATGGTGGATGATTAGAAACATATAATTCATCGATACCAAATCAAAATATCGATGAATCTTAATGCGCACTAAATATTAATTTCATCCCTAATCATGAAAACCCAAACACTTTTCAAATACCCAGAAATTTAGTCTTTACCACCTACTGGGGGATGATCCCCACTTGGAGTACCTTTTAGTTATATCCAAGGGTATAACATGATTTCTAATCCGTTTCTTAAATCAAAAGTTGTTTTTTATTAAACTACATAAACTATTACCTAACTGTATAAACTATTACCTAACTGTACCTAACATAAACTATTTAAACTGTGCTTAATAAACTATTTAATCGTAAACTATTTTTTAAATCTAGCTGATTTTCCGCTTAATACAGTTTATTGTATTGTTTAAATATCGAATGACTTTAGTTATAGTATTAATTTCAATATTAAAGAATTCTTCGATGTGAAAATAAATCCTAGAAATAAAGCACACCAAATATTAAAACCGAAATCTTGTTCGTGAAAAGCCGTTCATTAATTTAAAAGTTATTCAAGGTGATTCGATTTTTAATTATTTTTGTACATAATAACTACCTACTGAAGAAACTATTACACTAAGTTCTTCAAAGAAGCTGAATAAAGAAAAACTTGAAGATGCATAAATAGGAAGTGTTATTAATTTATCAGCCTGATAAAGAAGAAATAGGGAGAGAAAAAAATTATTATCAGAAGTTATCTTTAGTCTTCGTTAATTGTTTGCTTTCTGGTTGGCTGGCAAAGAATGTGTTGGCGTTTTATGGTGAGCCCAACTTACCCCCGCGACGTAATTTGCATGCATTTCAGTGCCTCTGTAATCCACTCATTTCATTTAATGTCAATTAACCCGCTTCACCGTGCTGCCATTCCTAAGTCCCTTCTCGATTAGTTCTTCTTTTTTAACTTTCTTAATATCGTTTGTCCTGTGGCGAGATTTTTAAACACCATGACGCATTTTTTGGCGTGTAAGCTTACTTTTTGGGAATTCATTTACAATATTAATTTTATAGAATGCAAGTATTTAATTCCTTTTAAATTATTTCCCTGATTACCTTTATACACAACATAAATTTCACAGTGCACATGTTTTATGAATATTTAATTTTTTTTTTAAAAAATACTCCAAAAAAATTTTTAATTTATAAAAATAATTTTTTTAAAAATTTTTAATAAAATATGAAATTTTTGGAGTAATAATAGTAAAAGAATAAAACTAAAATTGAAATTTAAAAAAAAATCTGTAATTATTACTTGAAACTTAAAATTACTTGAATAAGAAAATATGTTATGACATTAAAATTACATAAATATGAGTTTTATCAATTAAAATTAGTGCAAATATTATTTGCTTAGATTTGTGCTAAATGTTTCAATATAATATCATAAAATATCTTTTGAAGAACATTAGTATTAATAAATACCTGTTTAGGAATAATTTTTGCAAAAAAATTTTTTTTACTGAAAATCCTCTTAGTAAGCAACTAGTAAGTTGCAACTATGCATTTTAACTTTTAAGTGCTGCATTTTAATAATTAAGGCGAAAATTTTCATGATA